AGAAAGGAGAGAGAGAGAGAGAGAGAGAGAGAGAGAGAGAGAGAGAGAGAGAGAGAGAGAGAGAGAGAGAGAGAGAGAGAGAGAGAGAGAGAGAGAGAGAGAGAGGAGAGATGAGAGAGGGAGAGAAGGAATAACACAAAAAGATACGAGAAGAGAAGAAAATATGGAAGAGAGAGAAAAGAGAGAGAAGAGAGGAGAGAGGAGAGAGAAGAAAAATAATAAAAGAACAACACTCAAAAGGACGGTTGAGAAGAGAGGGGGGAGAGAGAGAGAGAGAGAGAGAAAAAGTAGGGAAACAAATGACAAAATTGGAATAATAAACACGTGAGGAGGGTCTCACAATTCCTAATGTTAATTTTTAGATTTCTTTACAAATGATAAATGTTAAAATGGGCCTAGACTCTATTATTTTGTGTATTGAGGGGGTTATCCCTCATTTTCCCTTAAAAATATACGTCTCCGAAAAGATGCTATTTGCAGACTATAAATAAATAAGGAGTATACTTGCGGTTTAAAAATATAAGTTCAATGTTTTTTTCAATTTAAGATAATCAAAGGATAGTTTGTTTTTTTAATAACTAGCATTTTCTTCCCGTGCGATGCACGGGATATTATTTCAAAAGTGAAAAAAAACAATCAATTTAATACATAATAAGAAAATATCGCACACTATCATAGTAAAATTTAATAATGTAGTATCATTCATATTTTATATAACATTGATTTTTTTAAATCTTACGTATTAAGATTTGTAATCCAAATATATAGATTAAGATTTAAAAAATCGTATATTATCTTTATCTCTTAAGATTTGAGATATATTGTTGAAAAATCGGAGATTGATAATTGTTAAAATTATAGTTAAAAATTAGTAGAGAAAAAATATTAAAAATAAATAATTACAGAAAAACTATTACAGTTTTTTAGGGTTGCCCAGCGTTTCTTTCTTTTATATATAAGATGATTTTAAAATAATATTTATGAGATAAAAAAATTGATAAAAATCGAAAATAATATTCAAGAGACAAAAATCTGATAAAAATCGAAAATAATATTTAGGAGATAAAAATCTGATAAAACTGTTAAAAATATTTAAATAATATTTAGGAGATATAAATTTGATAAAATTCTAAAATAATGTTTAAAATAATATTTAGGACATAAAAATTTGATACAAATCAAAAATAGTATTTAAAATAATATTTAGGAGATAAATTTTGAAAATAATATATAGGAGATAAAAATCTGCTAAAAAAAAAAATATTTAAATTATATTTAGGAGATATAAATTTGATAAAATTCGAAAATAATATTAAGGAGATAAAATTTTGATAAAAATCTAAAATAATATTTTGAAGATAAAAATTTGATAAACATCAAAAATAATATATAGGAGATAAAAATATGATAAAAAACAAAAATAATATTTAGGAGATATAAATTTGATAAAATTCGAAAATAACATTTAAAATAATATTTAAGAGATAAAAATTTGATAAAAATCAAAAATAATAAAAAAAAATACAAAAGTGACATTAGAGTTTGTTAGGGTTGCCCTAATGTTTCTTTCATATATAAGATAAATGATGTATTAATTAAGAAAATTGAAGTACTATTCAAGTCCAGGGAGCTGATATCATGATTCATGAGGAATGGATATCTGTTCTAGCTAGCCCAATTATATCTTCAACCCCCAATACATAAACAATGTGTTGACTTAAATGAATAAAAATTACAAGTAAAATATTAAGTACTCGTTTGGTTGGGAAGATTAGTCATGATTAACTACATAATTGAATGTTATTTGATGTTTGGTATCATCAATAACTTGTCAGGGTCGACCTGTGTTATCATTTGTCTTATCTTATCTTTTAGCCATGTTTTTTATTGGATCATCGAAGGTCCAATAATATAATTGAGTTTCAGTAAATTATTTAATTTTATATTGGAAACCAAACGAGGCTTAAATCAACACAAAAGCATGAGATTTATTCTTGAAATGATATTTGCCTTTTCAAAATTGAGATGGAACGATACATTGAATCATCGAACGATCTATAATATCGAAGCAGTAAAATAAATCTATACAAAACTAAAAATCTTCCTCTTCAACATAGGCATGCAACTTGCTTGAAATCTAGCCTCCCCCGCCTTCTTCGACCCATACCCGGTGATAAATATCGGATGGGTCTTCTGCTGCTACGTGTCCCTTCCCCCCATATGAATGGAAAATATTTTAAAAGTATATATTTTTGTTTTTCTTTTCAAAATTCCCGAAGTTTGAATGAAAATTCAATTGTAAAAGCAATCAGAATTGCAATTTGAATCGATTTTTCACTTAAGAAATTTCCCGAAAGTAATTTTTGATCCGGTATGTTCGATTTTCCACCTCTAAGTTCAAGAGACAATGATTTCTCTATTCCAAAAATAAGATAAATAAACTAAGAGAATATTCGCTACGTATAAGGCTAGAACGGGTAATTTACTTTACATGTGTATTAAATGGTGAAGGTTTAACTTAATATCTTAAAATTGAGATTTAATGTAGTGGGAATGCTATTAGTCTCTACTGCTCTTTTGGTTGAATGACTTGGATAGATAGGTAAAGATGTAATATGTAATATTGTGATTTAAATGTTGATGAGTAACAACAAACATTACTTTTGGTTTGTGGTATTGTCACGTGTATGCTAATCACTTAATGAACAATTTCATGTTTTGTTTCCTTGATTTTACTGTCTTATTTTGTATTAGTTGCGAAATGTCTAAAACGCCCTTAAATGATATTATATGATCTGCCCATCTTCGTCTTGATCTTTAGATTCCCAATTGCAAAACCCAGCAAACCTACCAATTTCTGCCATAACCCTTAATTGGCTCTGTATAAAATTGCTTTAAACAATAGATATGGCAAAGAGAAAAAAATCAAATATATAACTATATTAGACATTCTATTATCACAATTATCAAGTAGTTAACTGCGGAGATTTCATTAATGAAGAAAAGCATATCATCGGAAATCACGTGGCATGTCCTTATCTTCTTCTCTCTCATTTCCCCCTCCCGAAACCCTAATTGGAACACATTCGGCACACAATTTAAGATGAACTTGTAATGATTTCTTGAATTGGAGTACTACGGCATCTCGAGTTTCAACTGGAGTTGATTATTTGTTGTTGCAGAATCAAGTTCTGAATACTCGCCACGTCTTAATCGCATAAGATTATTCGAAGCGTTAATGGAGGGCTCTTCAACAGCGTCTTTTGGCCACGACGGAGGACGATCGGGAGTCATGGGAGATTGCTAATGTGGACGTCAGTTCTCACCTTCCAAAATTAGGGCTCAACAGTGACGACAGAGTTGAGAAGAAAAACGGCTATTTATATGTTATAAATTTATAATTGTTGTATGTTTGAAGGGTATTTTCGACATTTCTGTACATCTCATATGATGCGAGTAAATTAAAATTTTATTGGGTGTAAATTAAAATTTTACAAAATAGCTTTTTTTATTTTTTTTTTATTTTACCTTTTATTTTTATCTTTATGATGAATAATTGAATACAGTGTTAGACCATGTCCAATGGCATGTCCTAAAAATTGAAATAAACTACTATCTATGTTATTACAAGCTAATTTTAGTCCCAAAAAAGAAATGTTATTAGAGCTAATGAATAGAGTGTGCCAGTTACTTTGTACAATATTTATTAACTAATTAAACATGGTGTAACTACTACCTATATGATGAATAATTGAATACAGTGTTAGACCATGTCCAATGGCATGTCCTAAAAATTGAAATAAACTACTATCTATGTTATTGCAGCTAATTTTAGTCCCAAAAAAGAAATGTTATTAGAGCTAATGAATAGAGTGTGCCAGTTACTTTGTACAATATTTATTAATTAATTAAACATGGTGTAACTACTACCTATATTAACTAATAATTGCATCAAAAGGCGAAATTCCTCGCCCTCAGGGCTCCCATCCCTTAGCACGATAAGGATTGATGGAGGAATGTAAATCATGGTAACTCAACGGTTCGTTAAAGTAGCGGACTCGGACCTGGTGCCCACAAGGAACCAACTCTCATTGGAGTTGAAATTCCCACATTGCGGCTGGCAGAATTCGATCCTAGGACCTTGCACCAACTTACCACCTCCGGAACCAGTTGAGCTACACCCATGCGGGCATATTAGCTAATAATTATACTCATGTACCAAAAGTCGAAATCTCTCGTCCCAAGCCCCCCATCGTCTTGCCTTAGTATTTGTTGGAGGAATATAACAAAATCGGTTATACAATTGTCTATATTACTATCATCTATATTTTATTATTTCTATACGTATACGTATAATGTAAAGATATACAACTATTTCAAATAAATATTAATAAAATATATTTTAGCTTAAGTATTTTTAAATATTTATAAATGATATTATTAAGACTCAAAGAGGTTATATTTTCATTTGAAATATACCCATTGAAATTTAATATTTAAAATTAATTATTTAATACTATTTTTTTCTTATTATTTATTGAGTATTTTATTATATTTATATTTACCTTATTTGATAGTAAACATGTATATTACAATCTTTGATTTTACATTTCCATCCCCTTGAGATGGATTGCTCTTATCTATAAATGATTTAAAAAAAAAAGTTAAAATGTAGCTTATATACATGTCTAAATAATAGAAGGCTGAAGATGCTCTTAATAACAAGAATAAATGTTTCATATATATAATGCAATAGCACAAGATCTTTATTAGAATACAATAATTATCTGAAGATTAAACAAAAAAAAAAAAAAAAGAAAAAAAGAACAACCAACAATAAAGCCGAGCTAACTAGCTAGCTAGTTAAATAAGGGAAAATGTGATATTGACGCAAATTATATTCCGATGCACCGATTTTGCACAACGCGTAAGGTGTGTCGACCATCAGTGCAATGCAATATATCGATCAAGATTTATTATAAAAAAAAAAAAAAAAAAAAAAAAAAACCAAGCGTACTTTTAATCGAATGTGACCACAACTTTGATTCCAAAAGTGTCGGTGTCATCACCCGAAGGACTAATAATCATGACGGAGCCTTCGTCACTAACCGCCGGTGACGAACTAATCCAGCAAGAAACATAATCAGCTTTATTTCCTTCGTCGAAACACAAACTGTCCAATCCCAGTTCATCCCATGTTCTAATTGCACAATTAGTGTTGATTAGTCCACTAATCTCGTTTTCCGATACTAATAAACCCTCTAAAAGCCCTTTTCTTGAACACATTTCAACCTTATTATAGTAAGTATCCTCCTCTTCACAAGGCAACTTGTGTAGCAACAACGACAAGCTCGATGCCATTTTCGAGCCCGTTTTTCGTTCCGCCTCTTCGATGCATAAAGCAGCAAGATTCTTGTGATTATTATGAAGAATATTTTTTGGAACTGTGAGAATTACACTTTGAGCAGATGCATTAGTATTATTTTTGCATGTCTTATAATTAGAGCCCATAATTAGTCGATAATCATTAGGAGACGATGCATAATTAGGAAAGTAAAGATAAGGAATTTTGGAGGTATTAGTTCTTGAAAATATGGTTTTGTGGATTTTGCACCATTTTTTAAGGAAGTTTGAAAATGTAAAAGGATCCACAAGAAGAAGGCTTGAGGTGATTCCAATTGAATATCCCCCACAAGTAAAGTTTGTCACCTGCAAAAATTATACACCAACAAAATTAGTCAATTGCGTGTAAATATTAAAAATATAGGGGTATATTTATAAATATATTATATAAACATATATAAGTTTTTATTTATATTTTTATATATATTTTCAGACAAACATATTCAAAGTAAATTTTACTATCGACTATTAATATGCAGTTGATTATTAAATCATGTAAATACGGAAGCAACAAAAATATTTAAAAATTTGTTATTCAAATAGGTTTCTAACTTGTTAGAAATTGCAAAATGGTATATAAGGTGTCCAACAGGTGTTCCCGAGATTCAAACACGAAACATGTCCGAAAAACACGGAAATGTTAACTTGTTGAAGTTTCCGTGCTGCATGGAAAATTAGTAGAAAAATATATGATTTTTCTAATGCATTATGTATCAAGTATTTATTTTGTAGATAATACTTTCCTTTCCCACAAATCTTAAAGAACCTATAATTAGATTAGTAAAACCTACTAAAATTCCAAAAAAGAAAATTTTTTTTTTTTAAATATAATTTTTTTTATAACCTAACAAAATTCAAAAACAAATCACAAAAAAAAAAAAAAAAATAATAATTAAAAAAAAAAAAAAAAAAAGAAAAATACCTGGATATAGATCAGTGGTGAAAACTGAGGGTTGTGCTGCACAATATCCTCCCAATACACAAGCTCATGAGCTTCTCTCTTATTAGCCTTCAACTCATCTACAAACTCAGCCAACTTCACATGATCAGCTTTCACCTCCACCGTTCGAACCCCGGCGTCATTCGAAACAATCTCGAAATCTCCTCCGCCGCCGCCGTCGCTTTCTTCCGACAGCCGCCGCAGCCTCCCAGCGAGGATCGGCTCTTCTTCGAGAGCTTTCCCGAGCGACTCCTTCATGCGTCCGGCAAGAATCCAGCCGGAATCTTGTTCGGATGCTTTTGTGTAGCAGAGAAGAATGTGGAGGCGTCTCTGTAGAATATTACTATTACTATTTTGTGGGGGGAGATTATTAATTCTCATGGTTTTTCTTGTCTCTGTTGGCTTTGTTGGCATCATAGTTTGCATTGTTTCTATTTTGGAGAGAGGATGGCAGAATTGGAAATATGTATGTGTACTTAATTAAATGATGATGATATATATTTATAAGGGATAGGAATTTATAAATTGTTATCAACTTGTGGTGTGAATTGAATGTATATATCATTAATGTTACTTTTGCCTAGAATTTGTAGTATATGTATACTAGAACATCGATAAATTTATACTTGATAAATTAATAACCTCGATTAAATAAAAGTTTTTCCTGGTCCCGATTCAGTGAAAACTTGTTAAATTATTAACTTGATAATTTAATAATTCACTAAATTAATAGAATTTCTCTGGTCCCGACAGTTATTTTAAAATTAATTGGTGTTAGGAAGGGCACCACGTTCGATTATGACTCTTCCCACTGCCTAACATCCACAACAGAGCAATTGGTGACTCGATACAATCTGCGCCTTTGTTACGGACAATTGTAGTCTAAACCCAGACTGATAATCTCCTCGTCAACAATTGCTCTAACTAGGAATCGAGCTTGTGACCTTTGCTTGCAATCTAATAAATTTACCAAATTTTACGGGGAAAAATTGATAAAAAATCTAGACATCCTACCATCAAGACATGGATCCATAATCAAACAAAATCGATGTTAAGTACTTGAATAACGAAGTAATATCAAACTTCAATAATGCAGTGTAAATTACGAACACCCTCTTGTATATAATAATGTTAAATTATAAATAATTCTCTTTCTTGCATAGTACTATACCCCCTTGTATATGCACATAAATATTGCTACATACCACTCTATTAATTCACAATTGATTGAATTATCATGTAAAGACTTAAGGAGCAAACAAAATTATTTGAAATTTACTTTCCAAACGTGTTTCTATTTTATTTTATATTACAAAAATGAACCACTAAATAATTATGAAAAAGAAATACACAAACACGTACGACTCGAGAAAGAACACTAAAGAGGAAATATATGAGTTATTTGATGTCACAAGCTGTCCGGGGAACAATAGTGGTGGTGGTACAGCTATTTCATCAACTTGTGTACTGCTTAAAAAGAAACAACTTATATGCATTCAATAATCAAAATAAATTGTTTTATTTATTTATCTATTTATTTTACGACAACTCGCTTTCTTCCTACATACTAGACGTACCTAATTTTACGCGGACCCAGGACTATGCGATTATTTGAAAAGATTTCAAAATGTTACTATAAGTTAGGTAGTAACCGTCCACGTGGGGACGTCCGGGTATGGGCGGTTCACAATCGAATATCGTGTGCGTTTTGATTGCACTGTAAGAATAGGGTTTGCGCCATTTCTGACACTAATTGGTTTTATGACAACTGGTAGCGTCTGAGAACTTACTAGTGGTATCGGAGCCAGAGTCGCGAGTTTGATTCCCAGTTCAACTAATTGTTGAGAGGGAAACTGGGGTCAAAATTAGTTAATTGGTAAAATTTGACTAAATAGGAATGTAAATCATGAAATTGAAAACGAATCAAAGTTTCAAGGGGATGAGGATAATTTTGATATACACGAAAGAATTTTCCTTATTAACCAAAATCATTCAAACTCACGACTCGAGAAAGAACACTAAAGATGAAATGTATGACTTGTTTGATATGTAGACAGTAGAATAATTAAATCTATAATTTTAACTTTTTTTTTTTTTACCGAGGGCATTGATATGGAGACAGTAGAATAATTAAATTTATAGTTTTTACTTTTAATGTATTGATCGGCCGAATATAAAACATAATAATTTGTTACATAATTTTATAGCATCTTCATAATTGAACATAGAATTAAATAGTTAGAGAGCTAAATATTGAATTACATACATTATAAAATATGGGGGCACAAGCCCCCTACCCTAATTTCGTTAGACCATTACCTAATTATACCAAATTGGATTAATTATCTATTGTGGAGGCTGCTCGTAGAACTGCTTCATAGCTACTCATTTATTTAAGCATTGTTTTTTTTTACTTATATATAAATAGAAATAAAATATCAGATGATTTAGCTTTCTAAGATTTTTGGATCGCAACTAAAATTATAGTCCTAAAGTCTATTATTTATTCCGTTTTAATAACAAAATAATTCATGGATCCTTAAATTTCCAAATAATTAGATATATATTTATTTAAAAACTCTAATTTGAATTGTTATTAGTCATTAAAAGTTGATTTTGTTTGAAAATCGAAATCTGTGTTGATAGAAAATAGATGGATTCAATCAAAATAAGAGTTGGAAATTTAACCAAACTAGATTCGAGCTTGTTCGTTAAATTGTCGTTTGAACACATATTTTGATTTGATACCTATGAATTAAGTAGGAGCTCGACTAATATATATATATATATATATATATATATATATATATATATATATATATATATATATATATATATATATAGTCTGTTTTTTCCGCTGCCAGTTTCCGGCGTTGACTTTTTTTCTTTTTTTTTTACGTCCGCCGCTAAACGTTGACCGTAATTATGTTGTCATTAACGGTAATTATACTGTCAGTGATAGTAAATTAACGTAATTATATTGTCACTGACAGTGTATTAACGTAATTGTACTGTCGTTGACAATACATTTATGTAATTGTATTGTCGTTGACAGTACTATTAGAGTCAACGACAATATTATTATTTGTTTTGGTTATTTTTTTTTTTTTTTGTTTGATTTGTTGACAAGTCGACGTAATCATATTACTGTTGTTGATAGTAAAATAACTGTAAACACAATAATATTACTGTCAACCACATCAATATTCTTTTTTTTTTTTTTTTGAGTTATTGACGGAGTAACGTAATAATATTACTATTTATTATTCTAATATTACTGTAAACACAATAATATTAATGTGGTTGACGGTAATATTACTGTTGTTACAGGAATATTACTGTCAACCACAGTATTATTATTTTTTTTGGTTTTTTATTATGTTTACCTTTGTTGAACGATCAACATATCAATATATTTTACTTTATTACACAATAATAATGACTTTTGTTGAGCTAATATTATTGTGCTAGAGATTTATATATCAATATTATTGTGTTAAACTGTAGTATAGTTAACTTTACTGTGTTTAATAGTAATATTGTTAATATTACTGTCAAATACATCAATATTGTTGTTTAAACGGGGGGACAAAAAAATGTTAAAGAAAGAAAAAAAATCAAAAAAGTCAACGCCGGAAACCAGTGGCGGAAAAATCAGGAAGAAAAAAAAAATCAACGCCGGAGACCAGCGGTGACTGACGAAATTGTCCACAAAATTGTGTTTTGGGTCAAAATTGAATAATTTGTGACATTTGGGGTCAAATTGAGGTTATATTAAATTAAAAGATGAAATTGGAGCATATTAAAATGTGAGGGGCTATTTTAGTCTTTTATAAACCTCTGGATCATGTGTGAATTTTTTTATAAAAGAGTTTATTGTCTGGACCTCTTTATGAATAAGTACCCACATGGGCTTTTATATATATATATAGACACACACACTAGGTATGGAGCACCGCGCAAGGCGCGGTGCCCGTGCGTACACAACATGTAGCACGGTTAAAAAAAATTCCGAGTGATCACATGAATTTAATTATAATGTTGCCTAGCTAAACACAAATATGTTGAACTTATACAAGTGCATGAGATCATAACAAAATATTTGAGTAGCATTGAGTTGTACACAAAGGCAGATGTAGGAGTGTGAAAATAAGCACATATAAGGCAACATCGTATGGTAAAACACTTTGCGACTTACAATGACAATCACATGCGGAAATAGAAGGCTAGATATGAATGTCTGAATTCCTAGCAAGAATCTAATATTTTTGCACACATCCATCCTTGCATACCATGCACAGGCCTTTTCCTCACTGCAAAAATGCATACAAGTGTCTGCAAAACACACGAGCCAAATTTGAGACAAATGTTGATTATGATTATTATATTGCCTACGCATCAACATCGAATAAACTAACAATTAACAAATAGTTCGATTCAAAGTTTTTTTGTGAATTGTCACCTGAATCACCAGAAACTTTTGTAATTGCCGAAGTACATGTGGTGATGACAATTTATGTTTTCATTTACAACGTCTGATTTTATGGTCATGACCTTTTTTTTTGTAACAGCAATCGGATAATGAGTGCAAGCCTCACGAGTAGGTTTATTGCACCAATAATTAAAGAAAAAAGTTGTGTTGAACAATCTAGAATGTAAAAATTATGCATGTAAGAGTGAAGTCTTTCAACTCCAAGCCATCAATTTTTTCACAAAAAATTGAATAGCAAACATATACAAAAACAATAATAGTTAAATATTCACAAGTCTTTTCTGCAACAAATCACGAGATTAAATGAATTGAGTAAATGAAAAATTCTGCAGACTACTCAATTTCTTTCACTTACCCACCAAATTTATTTCATTTCTGATCCATTAACATATTATTTGCTTTGGCCGCACAAAATAAAACCATAGCTTTTCTCTTATCCAAATTCAATAACCATTAGCAAATTACATGTGAGAAGTTTCGGATTTTTTTACTTATGTTGGTTAAAGTGCAAACATCAAAGTAAACCTACAATGATGTTTAACTGAATTAATAGTAAATAAAAATGTTTTGGAGTTAACAAAAAAAAATGCAGAGAATATATAGAAGTACGGTACCGACTAATAAAGACCCTTGAAGGATTATTAATTAATGAAACTAATAACTGACATCCAACGTTGATTCAAGTATAGCTTACCAGAAACAAGAGGAAATCAACAAAGAATAATCATTTGCGAGCAATATTCTCGGGGTCCCCTATGTTGGCTTTCTTCCTCTTCGAGAGTGAGTATCAAAGTAATCATAATCATTGTAGATTGCTAGTTATAGCAGAACAGAAACCTCCCGTCAACAACTGTTGATTTTGTCGACTTCGCCATATATGATACGTGTTGGGGAATCAAATCATCGGAGATTCTTAAACAATGCATGGATTGGAGAGGGATTATATTTAATAAAATTGGGTTATTAGTTTAAAATCTCATAAACTATATTCTACATAGTAACAAAATTATCTAATAAAATCCAAGAAACAAACCAAATATTTAACCAGATGTGGAAGCTGGTGATCGGTGGGTGTGTACGTGTTCTCTGCAAGG